TGAAGAAATACACTACCCCAGTTGACCCAAACAAAAAAAATCAAATTAATTATCTATTATAAAAAATTGAAAACAGCTAACCTTATCCTCAAAAATAACTACACACCTGGAAAATCAAAACTGTAAAGAACCAACATTATTTACGAGTTCAAATGCCCCTTAAGGAACTGTGCGACCAAACCAAACCCATAAATAATTACATTGGTCATACTACTACATGCCTATACAAGCCCTAATAATAAAAAAAAGAAAAAGCCAACACTAAATTTCATTAACTATGAACACAGCCACAATGTGCTGCGTCCATAGTTAATGAAACATGTCTATAACTCTAGATACGTACACACAACCCATACATCCCCATAAATCTAGATACATACACACAACCCATACATCCCCATAAATCTAGAAACATACACACAACCCATACATCCCCATAAATCTAGAAACATACACACAACCCATACATCCCCATAAATCTAGAAACACACCCACATCCCCATAAATCCAAACATACATCCCCCATACATCCCCCATAAATCTAGAAACATACACACAACCCATACATCCCCATAAATCTAGAAACATACACACAACCCATACATCCCCATAAATCTAGAAACATACACACAACCCATACATCCCCATAAATCTAGAAACATACACACAACCCATACATCCCCATAAATCTAGAAACATACACACAACCCATACATTCCCATAAATCTAGAAACATACACACAACCCATACATTCCTATAAATCTAGAAACATACACACAACCCATACATTCCTATAAATCTAGAAACATACACACAACCCATACATTCCTATAAATCTAGAAACATACACACAACCCATACATTCCCATAAATCTAGAAACATACACAACCCATACATTCCCATAAACATACAAACATACACATACATTCCCCATAAATCTAGAAACATACACACAACCCATACATTCCTATAAATCTAGAAACATACACACAACCCATACATTCCTATAAATCTAGAAACATACACACAACCCATACATTCCTATAAATCTAGAAACATACACACAACCCATACATTCCTATAAATCTAGAAACATACACACAACCCATACATCCCCATAAATCTAGATACATACACAACCCATACATTCAGTTAAAAAGTAAAAATAAAATCATCCTTGAAAAGAAAACACAATTAAAAGCTTAATCACATTACCATGTCAGTCATCTTTAACAAAACACACACACACACATATATATATATATATATATATATATATATAGAGAGAGAGAGAGAAAGTGAGAGGTATTTCTGAAATGAGGAGAAACTGATGCACACAAGCAAATAAAACATGAACTATAGATTTCTTTCAAACAGTGTATAAGAAAAGAAAACATATTTTCCTCAGAAGGAAATAGACTGATATTTTTTTTTTTTATTTCCTCTGCAACACAGAAAAGCCATCATGATGCCTCTTCTCCAGACTTTTCACCTGCAAAGAATCACCTGTTATATACGATGCAATACTCATTATCTGGTCAACAGTCTCCAAAGCTTAAAGAAATTGAAAAATTAATCTGTGAATTAATCAAATTGAAAACATAATCATTCTTTTATTACAGAATATACAACTTACTAAAAACGGGTGTGTAAGATCATAAAAAGATAATCAGAATATAAGTAACTTAATAATGAAACAATATATTTAAGGGGTGGCCAGATTCTAAAAATTCTAGGAAGAGGCAAGCCAGTACTCTAATGAGTGGTGAGTCCATCAGAAGTCCAAATTTCTTGCCCATAAAAAATTCCCGTTGAAGGCAAAATAATACTGGTTTGTAATGAGATGACATATTCCATATGGCTAACTTGGATATCAAAATCCCTATACACAAACATACCCTTCACCAAATGCTTAAGATTTTTACAAAGACATTTAAAAAAGTAAAAAAATCAATGATCAAAACTATAAGAATATGTTGTCTCATTACAAACCAATGTTATTTCACTTTCAATGGGAATTTTTATAGACAGAAATTTGGTCTACCAATGGACTTAACATATATATACATATATATATATTGCTGAAACCCTCTTGACAAGTGGATGGAATGATCAAAAGACTAGGTGCTGAATATATCAGACAAGTGACATATTTTATATATATATATATATATATATATATATATATATATATATTATATATATATATATTATATTCTTATTTAGGTTTGCGGTTTCTGGTTCCTTCTAAAGTCTACTTCAATTTAATACTAGCGTCTCCACCAAAACTCTGAAATTTTAATTACTAATTATTTTTTATTTATTTATTTACTTTTTCCTCAATATGAGTAGGTAAGTTCACTCAATTCATACTCTTCCTCAGTCTTTTGTGCCAGAGGTTTATACTTTGTTTTCTCTTTAGGATTGGGTTTCCAGTTCCTTCTAAAGTCTGATTGACCTCTATATTCTCGTTCTTTTTTATGGTAATAAAAGTCCACACAGTAACCATCTACCTTAAGTGTCTCTTGGGCCTTGTATTGGGTGGACATTAAATAAAAAAATATATATATATATATATATATATATATATATATATATATATATATATATATATATATTCATACATGTTTAATTAAATAATATAGACAATTGTTGTCTATTTATTTTATGTAAATTCTTTTCCTAACGTCTGATAAGCTTAATAACATTATCATTAAGCGAAGAAAGAAAATCACAATATTGATCCATATTTTTGAATCCAATCTAAGCTTTTGGCTTACATAAGCCATTATCAAAGATGTCAATTACTGTACAATATATTAAGCAATATACGGACAAGACAGTGATAATAGTCTGTTATTGTTTACATGGATGATTTCCAAGCAACGATAAACACGTGCATATAAGACACTAGAAGCGAAAATCGTACTGCAGCTAATGACGTCACACATGACCATGCGAGAGGGAATTCAAGAAGTATTAAGTATGGGAAGCCGTTGGTATAAACCAATGGCTTCTGTTACCAATTATAGACATTTAAGGATATTTGTAGAGATTCCATAGTTGATTTTGTTTAAGTTAGGTTTCAACTGTTATATATATATATATATATATATATATATATATATATGCGTGTGTGTGTGGTGGAGTTCAATTTATATAACAATGAATCATTCATACAAAAAGTAGATTAGTAAAGTTAATGATATAAAATTTTATATATAATATAATTTTTAAAAACAAGCATCACAACATTCATCGAATGATTTGTAGGTTAATGCTCCTTTAAAATTTTGTTAGTGAAGGGATTTCACCATTTTATATCATTAACTTCACTAATCTACTTTTTGTATGAATGATTCATTGTTATATATATATATATATATATATATATATATATATATATACATACATAGTGTGTGGAGGTACAATGGAGTAATGGATTTTGTCTCAGACTGAAGAATGGAAGAACTGAGTTTGAATTCTAGTCAGTTTCATTACATTCATTTACTTGCAAATATCCTTGGGAAAGGTATAAATGCATTTCTTCTCCCACCCCCATAACTATGAATAATTAGCAAGACAAAGTGGGTCTTATAGTCTTGGGTGGCAACCAGTCTAGGAAAAGGACGACTCAAATTCAAAACAAAAAATTATGGATTAAATAGTCTCACCAACCCACAATTAGCCAAACGTATTGAGTACTCCTGAAGTCAGTCAAGGGAGGACTTCCTCCAACAGGAGTGAGAAGGATTTGGATAACTATAATGAAAATAGATCATGGGATAAATTAATAGATTATCACCCTAGAATACCCAAACTTTATGGTCTCCCTAAAACCCACAAAGCAGGCATTCTGATGCACCCCATTATATCAGGTATTGGTAGTGCTCCCCACAAACTGGTGAAAGCCATAACAAAAATTTTAACCCTCTCCTCAGAACAATCAGTCTGTCATATGTTAATAATTCAGGCAACCTGGTTGAAAAACTAAAGGGAATAAATATGACATATAAACTCATGACTAGTTTAGATGTCAAATCTCTTTATACAAAAGTTCTGGTCAGCAAATTCTTAAATTGCAAAAAAAAAATAGTCCAATCAAAAATAAACCTCTACCTACCAATAGATAAAATTACAAAAATTTGCCAACTTATCATAAACTAGTGTTATTTCACTTTTAACAATGATTTTTATAAACAAAAATTTGGACTACCACTTAGTAGAGTTTTAGCTTGTCTGCTCTTATATGTGTATGTGTGTGTGTGTGTGTGTGTGTTAACTTGTCCCATATTAAAAGTTCAGACAACCTGCTCAAAAAACTAAGGGGAATAAATATGACAGATAAACTAATCCCTTTATACCAATATCCCTGTTAATAAATGTTTAAATTATTAAAAAAAAAAAAAAAAAAAAAAAAAAAGCATCTGGCACAACCAAAAATAAACCTCTCCCTAACAATAGCTAAAATTATAAAAAATCTGTCATTTTATCACCAATTAATGCTGTTTCATATTTAACAATATTTATAAAAAAAAATTTGGATTACTAATGGGTTCACCAGTAAGTGGGATGTTAGCATGTATCTTCTTGAAATTTCTTGAATCTGGTCCTTTCCAAAATATTTTGGCTAAACAATCAACATATTTCCAATACATTGATGACACTATTAATATTTTCCCCACCCCTGAGTAGTGCATAAAAATTTCAACTCCACCACTGAATAAGCGCAGTACTAGACTGGCAACTAAGTTTTATCTTTTTACATTTGAAATGGCTAGATGTTCTATGCTAACAGTTTCTTCTCTTGCACTTCTCACTTGTGGAAGTTTCTTCCAGCCTCTTGCTTTCCAATCAACTTTGACCTTCAAAAATTTACATGTAATGTCAATTGGTATGTTCTGTATTCTCAATTCCTTCTCTTTTATTGTTCTTGCTCATTAATAATGCTTTCTTTTTCTCATATTCTTTCACACTATATAATCCCTTGCATCTTGCTTATGACCATATCAAGCTGAAACACCAGTTCTCGTATGATCACCAAAGTTAAGCAATATCGAGTCTGGTCAAACTTAGATGGGTGACTCCTTGGGAATACTAGGTGCTGTAAGCTGGCATGTGCTGGTGGTGTGATGGATAATAGTTCGGAATTGGAAATCAAAGAGCCGAGTTCCAATTCCAGTAGGGTTTTTTATATTCACTTACATGCAAATACCCTTATGAAAAGTACGAGACAACCTCTTCCCCCCACCCAGGTATGGGCTAATTAGTAGGATTTTTATCAGTAAATCATTATCATCTCTTAAAATCTAAAAATATTTTCTGGTTTTAAATAACCTGCAAAAGGTTGATAAGCTGTAAAAAAACAAAATCAATCAATCAATTTTATTGTTCTCTATCCTTAATATTTCTGTATCTCATATTCTCTCATGAAATACAAAATGTAGGAATATTTTCTGGTTTTAAATAAACTGCAAAAGGTTGATAAGCTGTAAAAAAATAAACAAGTCAATCAATAAAAATCCCTTGCATCTTAGTGGCTTTATTGATTTGCTTGAGATAAAATGATTCAAGTAAAAATAAATCTATAAAATTAAAAAAGAATTTTACCTTTAAACGTATCTAGCATTTCCTTATTACCAAAGTCTGAAAATCTACTTCAGTTTCTTAGAGAAAAGCAGAAAAACAAATTGTTTTTTAAGGAATTTATTTATAGGAAAGGAAATTAGCCAAAAGCGTTCAGGGCCATTCTACTTGATAATGTTCCTCAAGTGTGCTCTTTGCCTCTGCCCACACCCTCAGACACAGGCATACATTTGCTTTTTCAGTTGAAGAAGATGCCAATCAACATTTGGTAAACTGTGGGCTGTGTGGATGGCTTCATTCCACATTGTAAACAACAAAGAGGTTCTTAGAAATGACTTTTCTCAAATTGTAGGTGGCTTTGTCAGTCAGGATTTCAGATGAGAAACACTTCAGCTGATATTAAAGCCATGGGAATTACCAAATTCCTATCTTAGTAAAGATTAGAGAGAAGTCATCTTGTCTACCATGTGACAACAGATAGCCAATCAAAACAATTTATATATTTTGGTTGCTAAGCCTATTACTTTTGTATGATCTTCAATAAGATTTCTGCAAAATATAAATGAAGGCAGTGATGCTTACAGGTTTTAAATGTAATGAGTGCCCGGGGACCAACAGATTTCGTGATTTGTGTGGGTCCCTGGGAAATTCAATAGGCCCAAACTAAAGTTAAAAACTAAAAATTTTTTTTTTACTAGCATCCCAAGAAACAATTTTAAACATGCTAAATCACTTAAATTGACAGCACAACATTTTTCTTTAGTTAAATTAATAAATTCAAAAAAAAAAAAAACAGTATTTACATTTAATCACGGTTCAATTAAAAATCTATATTTTTTTGAGAATTATGGCAGAACAGTTTTTAAATTGACAGAACAAAAGCTGGTCTTTTTTTTTCAATTACTGAATTTGAAACAAAAACAGTAATTAAAGCAACATCTGGCAAATAAGTTCAGGTGCATCAAATAAAAAAAAAAAAACAAACAAACCAACAAAGTGTCTGGTAAAGTGACATTGATATTTATTTTATGCCACCCTTATATACTACCACCCAATAAAAGAATGAAAGAGTAAGGGAAACAAAGAAAAGAAGAACATGTAAAAAGTATTTGAAAGGCCAAAGGGCCAATCAAGGTAGAGGGTTACTGACTGAGGTGTGTGAATATGTATATGAGACAAGAAATTAGGAAGGGAAGATTATGAATACATTGTAGATAAATAATAATTGACCCTAGACTTAAAGAAGTGCAGACCATAAAGTTCTGGGGAGTATCCACAAGGGAGTCTGTGATCAAAACAACAAAAATAATCATCTGAATAGTAAGTTGAACAATACATACAAATTGTTTGCATGTGAGAAAATATGTGATTGTACACGATTTGGATAATTCTTGCTGGTTTATATTTTACACACTTGCATCTAGTAAATACTAAATGCTTCAAATACCTGGGTGTATCAGTTATAACAAATTTAGTATAGAAGGAATAAGAACTGTAAAATGATGAACACCTTAGAATAAACAAATTTAGTATAAAGATAAGGAAATTGAACACAGAGAGGTAGTTTGAACTGTAAAATGATGAAACCTTACCTTAGTGTATGGATCAGTTATAACAAATTTAGTATAGAAGATAAGGAAATTGAACATAGAATAGGCTGCACTAGAGGTAGTTTGAACTGTAAAATGATGAAACCTTACCTTAGTGTATGGATCAGTTATAACAAATTTAGTATAGAAGATAAGGAAATTGAACAATTGAATATAGAATAGTTTGAACTGTCCTTACCTAGTGTATGGATCAGTTTGAACAAATTTAGTAAAATAATTGAACACCTTCCTTGTTTGAACTGTAAAATAGGAAACCTTACCTTAGTTATAACAAATTTAGTATAGAAGATAAGGAAATTGAATATAGAATAGGCTGCACTAGAGGTAGTTTGAACTGTAAAATGATGAGACCTTGCCTTAGTGTATGGATCAGTTATAACAAATTTAGTATAGAAGATAAGGAAATTGAATATAGAATAGGCTTCACTAGAGGTAGTTTGAACTGTAAAATAATGAGACCTTCCCTTGGTGTATGGATCAGTTATAACAAATTTAGTATAGAAGATAAGGAAATTGAATATAGAATAGGCTGCACTAGAGGTAGTTTGAACTGTAAAATAATGAGACCTTCCCTTGGTGTATGGATCAGTTATAACAAATTAAGTATAGAAGATAAGAAATTGAATATAGAATAGGCTGCAAATTAATGAATTCCCTTGGTGTATGGATCAGTTAATAGGATAAGGAAATTGAATATAGAATAGGCTGCACTAGAGGTAGTTTGAACTGTAAAATAATGAGACCTTCCCTTGGTGTATGGATCAGTTATAACAAATTAAGTATAGAAGATAAGGAAATTGAATATGGAATAGGCTGTATTAGAGGTAGTTTAAACTGTAAAATAATGAGACCTTGCCTTGGTGTATGGATCAGTTATAACAAATTAAGTATAGAAGATAAGGAAATTGAATATGGAATAGGCTGTATTAGAGGTAGTTTAAACTGTAAAATGATGAGACCTTGCCTTGGTGTATGGATCAGTTATAACAAATTAAGTATAGAAGATAAGGAAATTGAATATGGAATAGGCTGTATTAGAGGTAGTTTAAACTGTAAAATGATGAGACCTTGCCTTGGTGTATGGATCCAGTTATAACAAATTAAGTATAGAAGATAAGGAAATTGAATATGGAATAGGCTGTATTAGAGGTAGTTTAAACTGTAAAATGATGAGACCTTGCCTTGGTGTATGGATCAGTTATAACAAATTAAGTATAGAAGATAAGGAAATTGAATATGGAATAGGCTGTATTAGAGGTAGTTTAAACTGTAAAATGATGAGACCTTGCCTTGGTGTATGGATCAGTTATAACAAATTAAGTATAGAAGATAAGGAAATTGAATATGGAATAGGCTGTATTAGAGGTAGTTTAAACTGTAAAATGATGAGACCTTGCCTTGGTGTATGGATCAGTTATAACAAATTAAGTATAGAAGATAAGGAAATTGAATATAGAATAAGCTGTGCTAGGAATAATTTCACCAGACATTTCAAATTGCTACAAAATCAAAACATTAACCTTATAACTCAAGTCATGTTTTTAGACAGCCTTGTCAGATCAAAAGTACAATATGGTCATTATTCATGGCACCAAACCCATTCAAACTTTCTGCTGTATACAACCTCTTTCAATAATTAAAATAAGGCTTTAAGCAAGTGAGACCTGAGGGTCCTAGCAATGACCATCCTTTTTTGAACATTGTGAACTGGAGCTACACAATCACAAACAAATGTATCAAATAGCAGAAACTGCATTGAGAAGTTTCAATAGCAACAACTAAAATGGATATCACATATAACTTGAAATGAAAATAATGACATAATCAACATTTTGAAATACAACACTACTTCAAATAATAAGTTAGGAAGGACACTCCCATCAATACTAGAAAGAGCAATAACAGCTACTGGACTTGAGAAACCTATTTTCCTAAAAAATGGTTTTCAGGGAAAGATTTTATGAATTTCAACCAAAAGCAGTACTGGCTGCTCGGTCAATGTATGCCAAATGTTTCCTTATAAGGAAACAGCTTATATTACCATTTGTCTTTATTCTACCATCTAGTCACTGTTTCTTTCATATCCTGTGTTCCTTTAGAAAGTAATTATGGCTCTTCACAACTTCCTGACTTTTGTTGCTTTTAGTAAATTTTTACTCTTTACCTTATCCCTCTTTGTCTAAATAATGACATAATTGATATGCTGATGTTTCAAGTAAAAGGTTAGGAAAGAAACCCTCATCAGTACTGGAAAGAGCAATAACAGCTACTGGACTTAAGAAACCTATTTTTCTCGAAAATTGTTTTAAGTGTAAATTTTATAAATTTCAACTGACAGTAGCACTGGCTGCTTGGTCAATGAATGCCGAATGTTTCCTTATAAGGAAACAACTAATATTATCATTGCCATAGGAAGCAAAGTTGTATCTTTGAATTATTCTACAAGGAAAAGATTGTACCAGACTTGTTCAAAAATATCTAAAATGTCTCCTCTATACAACCGTTTTCTCAGACTGATGGTTAAAATTGGTTTCATGCAAATCAGCTATGTAGATCTTAGAGATGGATCACCCTTCTTCGAACCCCAAGAACTGGTGCTACAGGATTACAAAGAACTGTACCAAATAACAGAAATCACATCATTTGAGGAGTTTCAATAACAGCAATAACTAAAATGGATAGAACATGTAACTTGAAGAGAAAATAATGACATAATCAAGATGTTGGCATTCTACATTGCTTTAAACAAAAGGTTAGGAAGGAAACCTCCATCAAAGCTGGGAAGAGTGATAACAATGGACACGAGTAACCTATTTTTCCTGAAAAATCACATCAAATAAACGATTTTATAAAATTCAGGTAGCAGTAGCACTGGCAACTCGTTCAATGAATTAATCGTTTTTTACTGCTTATCAATCCTTTGCAGGTTATTTAAAGCCAGAATATATTTTTAAATTGTAACAATATATGATTTAGTGATGAAAGTCTTACTAATTAACCAATAGAGGGAGGAGAAGAGGCACAATCATAAATTTCCCAAAGATATTTGTGCGTAACCCAACAAGAATTGAAACCCAGTTCTCCGATTAACAATTCTGAGCCATTGTCCATTACACCACCCACACATCCAAGCATACAGCATCTGGTATTCTCAAGTTGTCAGTCATCTAGGTACTGACCAGGCTCGACATTGCTTAACTTTGGTGATCATACAGGAACCGGTAGTTTCAATGTGATATGCTGTAAGCCCATTAGTCCATGCAGGCTGAATGTTTCCTTATAAGGAAATGGCTAATATTACTATTTTATCCTATTAACAAAATGGATAAAGTAATGATTTTGTTTGTAAGTTCAAAATGATGCTCTATAGAAAATATCCTTGAGAATATTGAAAAAAATATGTATATAATTTTTTAAAATTCCGTTAGTCAGATATGAGGTTCTGATAAAATTACCATTAGATTTTTTTCTGGTGTTTTCAGGTTAAAAGGAATTTAATTAAAAATAACAGGTAAATGTCAAAGTAAAATCAATGATTTTTTTCGCAAGACTTTCATTATACCTAAATAATTTTGGTCTTTTAATTTTTAGTTTTAATTCCATTAGCAGAGATATTATCTTTAATTTTATTCTTATTATATGAAGCATTGTCAATTATTATTAATAGTATTTCTAGTATGTCTTTTATCTTAATTTCAATAGCATTCTTATTGTATTAGTAGTAATACAATCTTGAAATTTATTATTATTATTATATGAATCATTGTCAACCATTAACATTTGACAATTATCTCTTGCATTTTAATTTCAATTGATTCTTATTACACTAGTAATATTAGTAGTAATACAATCTTGAAATTTATTATGATTATGATATGAAGCATTGTCAACCATTAACATTTGACAATTATTTCTTGCATTTTAATTTCAATTGATTCTTATTACACAAGTAATATTAGTACTAATACTATCTTGAAATTTATTATTGGTAGAATTTTTTTGCAACACACTAACATGTGCTGAAATCCTCACACTATTTAATATTGTTAAAGTTATCACTAAAATTTTTTGTTGAGATTTACAAATTCTACTCTCCCTACCATGTTTATATTTACAGCGCTACTACTGTGCTTTCTATTTCACCGGAATTAAATATATATACAAACTTAAAGAAAACATAAGCAAAAAACAAGATTGCATTTTTATTAAATACTAGCCTAGAAGCTGCCCTTTGGGTAGACATTAGGCCAGCTCCTGCAAAGGGCTTTTGGACCTTCGACCTCTTACCTTCAGCATCCTATGTATGTAAAAGTTATAAGAATTTAAAAATAATAAAATTATTTTATCTTTTTTTCGACACTTTAATTTGGCATAATCTTTCTTCATATACACAATCAATCTCCGTAGTTTGTTTACATTTATTTTGTACACAATTTTTATTTTTTTTTAAAATCACCATTCTTTATGTTCCCTTGATATAGAGTCACTCTTAAATGACATTAGGGAACCTGAACTATGTATTATTGCAAATACATCACAGTACACGTGCTAGAAAAAGAAAAAAAAACATATGAGCAATGTACCCCACTCGCTTGCACTTCTCCCCAAAATTTGATTTTGATCAGTATGGCTATTTTACAGGGTATGATAGACAGACTAATGGAAGTCACAGAATTTTATATATAGACAGATTATTATCATGACATGAAGCATTGTCAACCATTAACATTTGACAATTATTTCTTTCATCTTAATTTCAATTGCTTTTTATTACACTAGTAGTATTAGTACTAATATTATCTTGAAATTTTTTATTATTATTATGATGAAGCATTGTCAACCATTATTAACATTTGATGAACATTTCAATGGATGCTGACAGGAAGTCAGGTCTGGGAAGGAAAGTGAAAATTTAGACACATAACAATGGAAATTTTGCATCTCAAAAACACCTGCATTATTTAAAGGTGAGACTTGATTTTTCATATAAATTTGAGATGACCTTTGTATTATTGTTCCACATAATGTGCACTGTTTCATATGTAGATATACAACAGTGCACAAACTCAATGGATAATGACTTCTAAAACTAGTTTCAGATCATGGAGGATACAGTTCCATATTAATGTTGTGTTTATAACTTTGCCATCATTGCAATGATATTGTTTTCAATATTACTTTTAAATATTTATCTCTGTAAACTTTGCATGTTCTGTAATAATAATGTTTCTTAGAGTTGTAGGAATCTGAAAAATAATGTGTAACTATGGTAGATAGGAAGAAATTATTTCACTTAACATAGAATTAATGTTCTTCACAAAACTGTAAAATAAAATAGACATTAAGAGTTTGAGACAGACATTAAGTGGCTGGCATATACAGGCATGTATTAAGAGGCTGAGATAGACAGGCAGACATCGAGACGATGAGACGGACAGACAGACATCGAGACGATGAGACGGACAGACAGACATCGAGACGATGAGACGGACAGAGATGATGAGACGGACAGACATTAAGTGGATGAGACAGACAAACAGAAATCAAGCGGCTGAGACAGACAAACAGAAATCAAGCGGCTGAGACAGACAAACAGAAATCAAGCGGCTGAGACAGACATTAGAAATGGATGAGACAGACAAACAGAAATCAAGCGGCTGAGACAGACAAACAGAAATCAAGCGGCTGAGACAGACGAGCAGACATCAAGCGGATGAGACAGACGAGCAGACATCAAGAGGATGAGACAGATGAGCAGACATCAAGAGGATGAGACAGATGAGCAGACATCAAGAGGATGAGACAGATGAGCAGACATCAAGAGGATGAGACAGATGAGCAGACATCAAGAGGATGAGACAGACGAGCAGACATCAAGATGGATGAGACATCAAGATGAGACAGACAAACAAAATCAAGCGGCTGGATGAGCAGACATCAGCGGCTGAGACAGATGAGCAGGCATCAAGATGCAGATGAGCATCATCAAGAGGATGAGACAGATGAGCAGGCATCAAGAGGATGAGACAGATGAGCAGACATCAAGCGGCTGAGACAGATGAGCAGGCATCAGAGGATGAGACATGAGCAGGCATCAAGAGGATGAGACAGATGAGCAGGCATCAAGGATGAGACAGATGAGCAGACATCAAGCGACAGATGAGCAGGCATCAAGCGGCTGAGACAGATGAGCAGACATCAAGCGGATGAGACAGATGAGCAGACATCAAGCGGATGAGACAGATGAGCAGACATCAAGCGGCTGAGACAGATGAGCAGACATCAAGCGGCTGAGACAGATGAGCAGACATCAAGCGGCTGAGACAGATGAGCAGACATCAAGAGGATGAGACAGATGAGACACAGATGAGCAGACATCAAGAGACAGATGAGACATCATGAGCAGATGAGCAAGAGGATGAGACAGATGAGGAGACATCAAGAGGACAGACAGATGAGCAGACAGACAACATCAAGGATGAGACAGACGAGCAGACATCAAGAGGATGAGACAGACGAGCAGACAGACATCAGACAGGATGAGACATCAAGAGACAGATGAGCAGACATCAAGAGGATGAGACAGATGAGCAGACATCAAGAGGATGAGACAGATGAGACAGATGAGCAGACATCAAAAGGATGAGACAGATGGGTAAACATTAAGAGGCTGAGACACAAGATAGATCAATACATATAAAGACTGACTTACCTCAAATTCATCTTCCACAACTACAGTCCGGCTGACATTGTCAACTTTCACTGAAAGAAAAGAAGCCAAAATTTACAAATCACAGGAAGAAATACAAAGTGGTATTAAAAACAAGTACATCCCTATTTCATTAAATTATATAAAAGTGGACACTAAGTTCAACAGCCTGCTTCATGCTGGAAATGATGTTTCTTAGAGTTTCAGTGACCTTGTAAATAATCTCAAACTTGTTTTATAAAGGTTTGTCTGTGTTCCAAATATTAAAAGAAAATTCCACACAGCCCTTTTTTTCCCAAAATACTGCCACTTGGAAGAAGAGATTACCAAGTGAGTACTTCTCGGAATACTTAAATCTTGATCAACAGCCAGTCATTATTTATTCTCCTTACCCTCACAATTTTCCTTTTGTACCTCTCCTCTTCATATCACACATCTTATTCCCATTCTGACTGCAAACCTCTACCTTGAGTGGCTCTTGGGTCTCATGTTCGGTAAAATTTAGTATTAAAAAAATTACAATAATATAAATCTGTATAAAATTCTGTGACTTCCGTTAGTTTGTCCGTCACACCCTGTAAAATAGCCATACATCAACCGATTGAAACCAAATTTTGGGGAAAAGTGCAAACAGTTAAGGGGGTAAAAAGTACAGATGATTTTATCAGGGTGCATAGCTTAGGTCAATAAATTTTCATTAACCTTTATCACTCTGTATGTAAATTCATGTGCAGTACAAAAAGTTTATCCTTCCACTGAAGGTGACTGATCGCTGAACAATAGTGCATTTGAATTTCATAGTGGTGTTGTTATATTATGCTATGGCAACAAAAAAACTTGGAGTGAAATTAAAAATAAGGATACTACAATTGAGTAGTCTTGAAAAAGAATACGGTGAAAGTAACATGAATAATGCAGAGTGCTTTTTGGAAAAATTAAAAGTTTTATTATTTGACATACAAAATACTCCCACTATTTTAAAAACTATTTAATGATTAAAATAACAAATACTTATTTAATAAAAATGCAATATTGTTTTTTTTTTATTGCTTTTCTTTAAGTTTTTATATTTCATCGATTGGTTTGTGAAATTGAACAAAACACTGAGTTTGTAAATCTCAACAAAAAATGTTAGCAATAACTTCAACAATACTAAATGCTGCAAGGATTTCAACACATGTTGCAAACATATATTTAGAGAAGTCAAATATCTAATAAGCTATAAATAGCAAAAAATGCATCACTAGATTAGCAATTTATTTTGAAAAAGATTTATTTACATCTATCTAACACAGATATAATTTGTGACACACATAACTTCAAAATTGCATTAGTACCTAACTTCCAAATATGTTAAAACTAGCAGCATGACCCGGCGTTGCCCATGCTTGATTCAAAAATCATACGACTTAAAATATTTTTGCCCTTCCTTGCCTTTAAAAAAAGTGCCCTTTGCCATGCTGATGTTGCTACATGCCTTACTTCTCACACTGAGAATTTTTTCTAAGCTCTATACTAAACATTAAATCTG